GCAAAACTCTACACTTGCCTTTGTTGAACTTTATCAGATTAAAAGGTCCTAAACGATGTTTGATAGCTCTCTGCAAAGGCGGCTTTGTTGCCAGAAGCATATCTAACTTTTTCTTTCTATGTGTTGTCCTTGCAATGTCATAATTTTGAATGCTAGAATGTATAGAACAATATAGACTGAGCAACCTCATCTGGTTAAAGATGTGCCTGCTTACTGCAGGGAGGTAGGACCAGATGACCTTTAAAGGTCTATTCCAATCCGGTGCATTCTGTGATTCTGTATAAATTCCCATTCACGTTCATCAGTCGTGTTTCTTTATGAGTAAACGTGTTCATTGGGGTTCAGTCAATTCTCTTGGATTTTTTGGTCTGTTGGTCAGGGATGGTTTGTTACTGAGAACCAAGACTGAAGATATGATGGCACAGATTCACACTAACCTTTTGGGCACAATGTTGACATGCAAAGCTGCTGTAAGAAGTATGATTCAACACCAGGGAGGTGCTATTGTCAATATAGGTAAGTTGCTTGTCTAATACAGTGGAATTCTGTGTACTAGTGTTTTAGAAAGTTTTAGCAGGTGTAGGATGCTGAAATGTTGCTTGTTAGGATTGGCTTATTTTCCTTGTATTTAAGACATTCTATACTTAGAATTGCTTTATGAATGCTTATTCTTCTGTGTGATTTCAGCATGTTCTAAATGTAAAACCAGCTTGTTTCAGTAATAATACCTCAGAGTTTATATTTTATTAAAAAAGAATTATACCATTTTTTATCAGCACTTGGAATAGCTATATCTGCCAGCTGCTTAGTTATTAAGTAAGACTCAAATAGGAACAGTTAGTTTCTTTTTCTATAATGATATTTTTTTGGAGAGCTCTTCATTTTACTGCCCTGGTCAACACAGATGTATGGATTCCGCACAAATTACACATAAATGAGGGATCTGATTATCCCAGCAGTAGGCTATGAAGTACATTTAGTAATACACTTTTAATTCCTTTTCTTGTAGTTTCATTTTCCATTCCAAATTTAAAACTAAAACGATAAAACTAGTACAAGGTTTCAAATTAGTCATTTAACTTTTTCTTCTCATCAGTGTTTCTTTATTTCAGGAAGTGTTGTAGGACTTAAAGGCAATTCTGGTCAAAGTGTATACAGTGCTACCAAAGCAGGGTTGGTTGGATTTTCACGCTCCCTTGCTAAAGAAGTAGCAAAAAAGCAAATTCGAGTCAACGTGGTTGCTCCAGGTTAGTTTTTGGGGAGTTCCTATATCCTTGACTGTTGCAATACACGATCACCGAGACTGCTGGATATTTGCTGTACTCTGAAAGTAACTTAAGGCAAATTGCTATTATTTTCTTTGACTTTTGTGAGTTAATATTTTTGGGGTATTTTCAGTTTAAAGTATAATACATTCTTTTACAAAACCTTCAGTCCCTTTAAAGGAACACTGAGAAATTTGGAAGAGTGTTTGTACCTGTTTGTTTCTCCATTATTACATAATAAACATTATTACTACTTCAAAACCTCCTGTCCTTGCAAATGAAAGGATTAAACTAATGATATACAGACAGCTACCCTCATCTCTTGCTTAAGAATGCTCGTTTGTTATTAGAGAAATGTGAAAGACCATGAGAAGCTGGCATGAAGGCATCCCTGTCTATCACTGTAGTAAAAGGAGATTATCTGGAAAGAAAGTTCTGTGAGGACAAGGCTGTGGTTTCACAAGGTGATCTAGTGCAAGCAAACCAACCACCCTTACTGAAAAATCCTTTTTATCTTTTCCGACTTTTTCCACTCACCATGTGCTAGCTCAGATGCCTTCTTGAGTTCTACATGAACCAGTTCAGCCTGTGAACTAGGCAGGAAAAATGTGTAAAATTGTTTTATGAGTTGAGCAGCTCACTGAAGGGTCTGGTGCTGTCATAAAGGGGCACAGTTGTACAGTACAAAGCAAAACTGAGACTTTCCCTTCTTGGTGGTAGCTTGAAAATGAATAAGATCAACCCTGTATGATGCTACAGTTTCTATGAAGAGAAGTGTAGCACAGGGAAAACTGAATCTCAGATAACTGAAAATTCTAAAGAGATATCCTTCAAAAATTGTCAGGAAATACTCAAGTGAGTGCTACAATAGAAATTATATAAGTGCTGTCCACAGTTATAAAATATAATGGAAATCCTTGCGATTTCTTCTTTCCAGAGATTTTATATTTGTGTTTGAGAATGTTTTGGTGAAATTACTGTACTTTGTCGTTTGGAAAAGCAATACTAAATATGGTTTGGTGCCCAATTTTAGAGTTACCTTTTTTTTTCATAGACTTTACAGATCTCTACATTTTTGTGATTACATCAGTGCTTCCAAAACCAAGATATTTTATTGGTTCGGTAAAAAATTGTTCTCAGCTATAAAATGATTTGGACTGACTTCTGAGGCACTGAAGAATGGCAGCTGGTGCTGAATCGTTACAGTGAATTTGACTTTGGAGGATTCCAGGGAAAATCTGCTAGAGAAATTTAGCTGAAGGTTAAGTAACTCTTCAAATATGTCTTCTCTCTTAGGCTTTATTCACACAGAGATGACTGCTCATTTGGAGGAAGATCAGCTGAAGAAAGCAATTCTCCTTGGAAGATTTGGAGAGCCTCATGAAGTTGCACAAGCTGTTGTCTTTCTTCTAGAGTCCCCTTATGTAACAGGGAGTACTCTAATTGTAGATGGAGGCTTGCAGCTTATGACTTAAATGCTACCTTGAATAAGTACTTAAATGTCATGATGGTAATATATAATAATTAAAGGGGGAGGGTATGGAAATTAACCAAAGATTGATGTGTGTAACTGACCTGATATTCTTTAGTCACAAGAGGAATCCAACAGCAGTGGGTTCCAGCATGTAAGTTTATCTACCTAAAAGAGACTGTTTGATATTGTGAAGTATGTGTATGTAACAGTTTGAAAAATATCTGTGTTTGGCATAATGGTAGTTTTAATTAACATTTTGAAAGCACTATATTTTTATTAAATCATGTTTTACAGTTTGGGATAGAGTGGAGTTTTTATGTGAATTGTGTTACACAAAGATCAATAAAATCTGGAGGTGTATTACTGGTTGGCAGGTACAATTGCATCAAGTTTTTCAGGGTGAAGATGGCAAACAGTATAATTTTTTTATTGTTATCAGTTAGTCCCTACAAAGTAGCAAGGAGTTTGCTTTTCGTTTGTTTGTAGCTAACACTACAAAGGTACGAGCTTGTATATCTTCAGCATACCTGAATTGCCTTTAGAAGGTGTAATTATATGCAGTGTGTTTTTCTAAAGACAAAAACCTGTTCAGTTCCATTCTTTAGTGTATGTGCAGCACTAATTTAATCCAGGAGCACTTACATGTATATATGGACTGTCGATTGTTCACTGGAGTTGCTAATTCTGTCATATTCTGAGTTTGAGCTGTGCACACACTGCTGATCAGCACAGTTGCAGGCCTTGCTGCATAAAAACGTTTCACTGACTCAGTAGATCTTAAAAAATAATGTCTCCTTTCCAGAGTTTGAAGTCAAAATGTATTGCTGTGTATCTTCTTGAACACTTGGTTCAACTATGTTATGCTGATGCTCTTTAATGTGTATGTATAGTCAATAAAATATGCATTTATTTTATTCAAAGTAGCTTTTGAAGCAAAGTAATTATTCAGCTGTAAATGATCCTGAGTGGTCTTTTCTTGCTGAAAAATTACCAAAAATTTGACCTCAGGCTCTTGTGTTGAGATGGAGTAATTTTTCGTAATTGATGTTTGTATCATCTCTGAAGAAAGCTATGAGTGTGGTTTAGGACTTTCACTTCTTAGCTTCAGTATTCATTGCATCATGATCCAGATGTTAATTCAGCTTTTGAAATTACTTCCCGTCTTGGCACAAACAAAAGTACAGAAATAAGAGATCTCTCTGATAACTTTGAGTCTTTAAAGACTGAGATTTTCTTCATTTATGCAGCTGAGAAGTGTTGTCTTTGTGCCAGAAAACAGTTTGTTGCAGGTATGTATTGAGAAATAGCACAAATTGTTCCTTCCATACAAGGAATAGTTGTATATTCAGGGGGTTTTAGTGTTGGTAGTCCTTTCAGGAATCCTTATATTAGTTACCTCTTTGTAGAGGTTTGGTGTTACTTGCTGTGAAAAGTTCTGTGTCATGTGTCTTTGCACCAAAAATAAAGTTGCTAATTATGTTTCTCTTTGATAGGAGGAATTGGCCAGAGAATAGATGAATTTTTTCCGAGGGCACTGAAGGTGAGTAAGGACAGCTGGTACTCCCATTTTTACTAGTCAAGTAAGTAATATGTCAGTAACTTGGCTGCTGCCCATACCTATCCTTAGTATTTTACAGGCAAAGCCTGTGTGACTATCTTGACCAGAAGTGAAAATTAAGCCATAAAAAAAGTTTCCTTTTAGTGAGTTCTGACCATAATTATTATCATCTCTGGTTTTGTTGGGTAAGGGGACTGTTAAATGTTACTACCAATGGCATTTTTAGTTTTTATTTGTGATTAAAACCTGGAATAATAATTTGTGATTAAAACCTTCAGAAGAATCTTGGTATGCTCATAAGTAATTAATTTAAAACATTGCAATACATACTATGATTTTATTACTGCTGTTGCTATAGGAGCAGACCAAAGTATTCATAGCCTTGAAGTTGTATTTGTAAAAGACTTTTTTCCCTTTTTCTCCAAACTGGTAAATTAGAACTGCAAACTAGTTAAAAAACACTAAACCATTTCAACACTTACTGTGTACATCTGCTCTAAAAGGTAACATCTGTTTGTCAGGCTACAGTTTGTCTGGCCTGGTGTGATGTCTGAGACTGTGGAAGTAGTGAATGCGTAGGGTAGGTAACAGATGAAGCGGATGGTGATGTGTTTCCTTAGAAGACTTCTACCTCCAGCAATTTGTGATTAATATGTTTGCTGTTTGGTAGCTCACCTTGAGGCCTGTTGGCTCTAACATTTGATGACGCTTTGTAACAACCCTCTTGTGCTGTCTGTGTTGCTCTTGAATTTGTAGGCCTCTGTGATACCCTTCGGTCATGGCTCAAGCCAACTGAGACAAAGAACCACAGTCTCCAGCTCACTCCTCCCCCCACTCCTGTTTCCTCAGTGATGTGAAGGGAGACAATTTCAACTAAAAACACTCGAGGGTTTGAGATTAAGGACAGGGAGGGTAATAATCTACCATTTAAGATGATGGGTAAAGAACCAGAGTGACTTGGGGAAAAAAAACAGGTTTAATTCACCACTACCATTTATGAGGTAGGAAAGAGGAATACATCGATGAATAGGACTTGATCTTAAATACCCTTTTGCCCTCTCACCCCTCACATCTTCCCAGCTACCTCCTACCAGTCAGTGCAAGAGGGGCCAGGGGGTGGAGGGTGCAGTCAGTCTGGCCACTACACAATGTCTGTGGCAGCTTCTTGAGAAAGAGAGCTCCTCGCAGTCTCTCCTTCCTGCTGCATGGTGTCCACCTCAGGGGAGGCAATCCTCTTCCTCCTCATGAGTCCCTTGGGGCCACAGGTTGCTTCTGGCATGTCCCCCGCTGATGCTCGATCTCTCTCCCCTCTCATATGGGGCTCTGTACCTACCGATGCATGCTTGACATTCTCGCTGCGGTTAGTCCCCCCACCTAGCAGGCAATCACCCTCCTGCCATCTCAGCCACCACAGGGCCTCCAGGGAAAGATCTTGCTCTGGCAGCCGCCTTCTCCTTTCTGCTCTTCCCCACCTCTTTCTTCTCAGCGACTCTTCTCCCTCTCTTCTCAGGGCGATGTTCCTTTGTTCTCCTCTCACCTCGTCCTCCTCCAACAGAAAAAAAAATTCCCTGTTAAAGACAGGCCGGCTCAACACAAGACGAAGAACAGTGGGGTCGCCTTTTAAATACCTTGATCGAAGAGGCGCTTATTGGCCTGGCCCTGGCCAGAGGCAGGTCCAACTCTACCTGGGGGAGGAGCAGGCTCTTGAAGTTTCTCATGAGTCTACCCCCACTTTTTTACAAAAAAAACCATCAGACTTAAATCCATGACACCTTCCTGCCTCAGTTGTTTCTCTTTCAAACTGAAGAGTCTGGTTTCTTTTAGTTGCTTGTTGCTGCAAAGCTCTTTTGTACCTTACGTCATTCTTAACTTTTCCAGTTTCTCGTGGAGGGAGGAGCAGGTGAAATTGTTCACAGTATTCAATGTGAATTGATCTAAAAAAAAATATAATGTTTTGCGTTTTGTTTTATACTGCTTCTAAAAATAAAACCTAGTAGTTTTTCATTTTCCTAACCTTTACACTTATGTTTTCAGAAGCTGTATAGGAATGATAACTCAGTCCTGAATAGTCAGTCATCAGCCTGGAACCTATTTCCTTACATATGTATTTAGAACTGATTTTTTTTATTTATTTATTTTCTCCAGTGTGAATTTTTGTCATTTATCTGCAGTGAATTTAGTCTGATGGTCTTAACACCTATTTCCTTAGTGAAATGGGTCTGCAGTTTTTTATTTAATTCCTTTATTACTTTGACTAACTTCGTTTTAATGGAATATACTGTGGCCTTCAGAAATTGCTGTCTCAGAATGCTTATGAATGAGTTGTGATTTGATAGCCCCCGCATAGGTTCCTGTGGTGTTCTGTTGACTGTGTCCTTAGGAAAGAACAACTGCTGATTCATACCGTTTCTCTTCAACCTTTAAACAATTTACTGATACTGACAACTTCTTTTGGCAGTACAGCATCTTTAATAGTTTTTGGCAAGGGAATGTGTCAGATGCCTTTTAGAATTCTGAGCATGCTCCTTACTTTCATCTCTTTTAGTCTTTTGAAGAACTCTAAATTGTTTATCAAACATGACTTTCCTTTGCAAAAGCCAGACTGACTTTCCTCAGTATATTTATCCAGTTGTTTTCATGACATTAGAACAATTTCTGGCAGTTTGCTGTGTAGAGAAAAACATACTTAGTCTGTAGTGCCATGGATGCCTCTGGAATCTCTTAAAAACCAAGGTATCCTTCCACCCACAAAACTCCCAAAAGCTTGCTGTCACTTTTGCCAGCTTCCAGTCTTTTGATAATAAGGCAGTTTTAATGCAGAAGTTTCACATGGCCGTTACTTGATTTCCTTTAGAAATGGGGAATAATAACCCCAGCCCTGGCTGTTTGTCACTCTGTCCTCTGTAATGTCTTCCAAGGTTTTGCTCAGGAGTCACCTGCGGAGGTTCTGCTCGAGTTCCTGCATGGTAACAAAAACTGATGTAGGGTTTTGTTTAGAGTTTGGGGATTTTTTTTTCTATGGCCTTGCCTTCTCCAAGCACTTTGCTATTTATTTTAATCGTCTGCTTCAGTTCGGTTTGTATGTGCTTTTATAAATTATTCTTATAGACTCTGTCTATAAGTTTCACATTGAGTGTTGGATATCATTTGACCGCTAAAGCTAGACTGCTATTTTTATAAAGGATAGCTTAAATTCTTTTGGTGTTTGTGTTGAAAGCCGTTATACTGAAGTTCAGTGCAAACAATCTTGCACTGTTGTCATCAGGCATTGCATCTTATTTTTTTTTGTCTTTTTGGATTCATTTCAGCATATTTCTTTATCTCATGTTGCTCCTTTTTTATGGAGGTCTGCATTTGTATACTGTTGTCTATTAATCACAGAGTCACAGAATATTAGGGGTTGGAAGGGACGTCAAAAGATCATCTATCTAGTCCAACCCCCC